CTGACTGGGACCTTGTCCCCTGCATCGAACCGAAGTCCGGAACTAACTGCATCGGACCGAAGTCCGGAACTGACTGACTGAACATGGCATAGCATAACACATCAACTAGCATAACACATATACGACATGCTACATCGGGCCGTGGCTCGGAACATAATACTTAACACATAAAACATAGCACACAAATCCTGTTCGAACCACGAAGGCATCGAACATACTAACTACTGCATCGGACCTAAATCCGGAAACTACTGCTAACTGAACGGGCCGGCATTGTGGCCTTAGACCCGTTCCTACTGGAAGGAAACTCACCTCGTAAGCTGGCTACTGAGTGTGTGGCTCGGAAAGCTAACGGCGGCTGCTCCTGAATCTCCTCGGCTACAAGTCCATAAACACACTCAATCAAATACTAGACACTGCGCTTGGGGTAAAATGACTCTTTTACCCTTGGTCAAAGTCAACTCTCCTTTGGGCTGACTCGCCGAGTTGGGCCACCCAACTCGCCGAGTCCTACTCTCACTTTTCACTTTTACTCACTGCTACTCGTCGAGTCTAGCATCGACTCGACGAGTACCCTCTTGATCCAAGAACTCAGACAATCTTCATCCGACTCGCCGAGTCGTATGAACAGACTCGACGAGTTGTTCTTGATCCCAAGAAGATTGCCTTGGACTCGCCGAGTTGATGAACAACTCGCCGAGTCCCTCCATCACTGAGTTCACCCTCAACTCGCTGAGTCCACTCTCTAACTCACCTCGTCCACTCGACACTGATAAAACTAAAAAACTCGGGACTCGCGACCCAACTCGTCGAGTCGTTCTTCCGACTCGCCGAGTTGCCGCCATGCAACTGATTTTTACTCGATTTTGTTTGAATCCAATGCATACAATTGATAGATCTGAGTCCAATAAGCTGATTTACCACGTAAAGTTTCCAACTTTACGTGCACAACCTCATGAATAAGGGAAATAAGGCTAAAAGATGCATAAAATGGGTAGATCTATGGTTATCATGCAATATAACTCCAAAAAGACAGTAGATCTGGGCTCTACAACACCCCAACATTCAGATCCATAGCTATTTCGACTTAATAAGACGTTCATGCAAGTGTAAGGCTTGGAACAAGCATCAACTAGCTCTTAGGAGAGCTCTAATGGAAGTTTAAAGCATATAACAAGATTGAACTCCGAAAATACCTCAATTAACTCTGATTTGGCCTTGGATCTTTGCACTACAACACTTCTCCTTGCTTCTTCCTTCTTCTCCTTCTTCACACCTTCACAAAATGGCACCAAAACACATATAAGCTCTTCAAGGGAGGATTAGGGTTCTCTCACTGTGTTCTCAGGGTGAGGGAGGCGAGGATGGGGGCTATAAGGTGGTATAAATAGTGGGCAACCCGGGGATTTAGGGTTTCACCCAGACGGATGGACTCGCCGAGTCAGGGATATGGACTCGCCGAGTCCCCGGCTCACGCGTGCCCTCAGGCGCGACCCTACTCGGCGAGTCAGGCTAGAACTCGCCGAGTCCCTCTTGAAAAACTCACTACAATTACCAATAAATCAACATACCGGGAACGGGTCGTTACATATTAAAAAGTGCATATACGATATTTTGATATTTAAGAATGGCATATATGATATTTTGATGTTTAAAAATGACATGTATGATATTTTGATGTTTAAAAAAGACATGATATTTTGAAATTTTTGAAGGGTAAATATGATATTTAGAAATTAAGTTGGATAAATATGATATTTTGATATTTAACAATGGTATATATATATATATTATATATATATATATATATATATATATAAGAGAGAGAGAGAGAGAGAGAGAGAGAGAAAGAGGTTCCGTTGAGATCCAAAATAAAATAGAGATCTTGAGATTCAACCTCAGCCACAATTCTTATGTGCTGCTCTAACCCTATGGGGTACCGGCGCAGTAGGTCAGTTATAATCATAAATGATTATATAGCACAATCCGTTCCTTTCTCCTCCGCTATCTTCCCCACCACCACACCTGCCACCACCACCCACCACATTTGCCACCAACCGACCCACCATTGTCACCTCCGTCACTTATACTACTGTCACCTCTGCCACCACCACATCTTCTTCCATCAACCATTATAATCATATATAATTACTCAATCTGTGAGTAGACATCTATGTATAATCATTTATTAGGCATTCTCCGATGTTGCCGGTACATTGGAGTGTTAGAGCGGCAAATAAAAAATATGTGGCTAAGATTAAATCTCAAGATCTAATTTTTTTATTTTTTTTTAATCTTATGTGAACCGTGTGTGTGTATATATATATATATATATATATATATATATATATATATATATATATATATATATATATATATATATATATTGGAGAGAAATACACAAAAAATAATGGTCGTATTACTAAAAAAACAATTGGTGAACTGACAATTAGTTAATTTAATTTCGAAAAAAAAAAATGGTGAATATGAAATTTAACAGTATCAACTACATCTTTTCAATCAGTTTTTTTAATCAAGTTCAATGGAAAGACAAATTGAGAGAGAGCATGTACTAACCATTTGTTGATAATTTATGTTAATTTAATTTGTTTGATAACAATTGCTTAAAAGTATCAATGTCATTTATAAGAACAAAATTATTAGCAAATTACATGAAATATAACAACCTACTTTATTCCTTTTACCAGCAATGTACAAAGCTGAAAGTTGGGCATTGTTAATGAAATTACTTCAAATATGTTGTTATGACTTGTATTTTTACCAATAACAGCCATATTTGACTTATAATAGCAATGTACTTATATTTCTCTACACATAACATCACTTTTTAGCAATAAACCAAATTACCTATATCATTAACAAAATATAAGTACTTCATGATTATGGTAATTAAATGCATTTGTTAACAACATGAATAACAGCATGTACTTGAAGTGAAAAAAAAAATAAACTGACATACAAAATAAAAATGTATTCAACTATTGTTACATGAGTCCTTCAAAACCAAAAAAAAAAAAGAAAAGGGGGTAAACGATAAAAGAGCATCTTCAAGGCTTCCATAGTTTCATGGTGCAATCTTCACCATAAGTGGCTACAAGATTCCGGTGGGGATGATGGCAAATACCGATTACGTCCTTCTCATGCACCTTCATCAAGTGCTCCAGTTTCCCAGATTGATGGCTAAAACAGTACAAATTCTTATCTTCACCAACACAATATATCCATTCCCCTTTTGGTGATATGCAAGCTGCAACAAAATCTCCACCCTCCCTTTTACCAGATGAGAAACTTTTCACCACCTTCATATTTTCAACACAAATATATTTATAACTGAATGCATGCATCTTAATTAATAAGAACTTCTGATAAAAACAAAAAGCCACCTGTCCTTGAAGAGTCATGAGATAAATTGATGATGTCTTGTTGCAAACTATAACATGGTCTGGATTTTTTGGAGAAAGGTGAACTGAATTTACTGAAGCATCTCCTCCCTGTAAGTCAAACACAGAGCAACTGTAAAGTCAAACTTCAAAGAATCTTTGACTTAATTGACTTAATATTTGATAATAAAGGTTGTTTTCGTAATAAAGGTTGTTTCTTTTTAGAAATTTGAATGAACTGTCTGAATATGAGTAAATGACTAAATTACCCTCAATGGAGGTGGTGGCTTGAATGTTTGTAGACAATCTGTAGTCTTCAAATCCCAAACTTTTACTGTACAATCACTTGATGCAGTAATGACACGAAGTCCATCAGTTGTAAAAGTGGCATCATTTACATAAGAAGAATGACCACGAATTCCTTTAACAATTTTCCATTCTTTATCCCATGAATCCTGGTATTCAATACAATATATAACAACCAAATGTGTGTTTATTATGTATATTTCAACTTAAATAAACTGTTTTTTTTTTTTTTTAATTTATAGTATGTAAAACAGACCTTGCAGTTCCATCAAATGAAGTGCTCAATAACTGACTTCCATCACGCGAAAACACAACACTTGTGACACCTTGAGAATGTGCATTTTCAAGGCGTCGCAAACATTGTCCATTCCTTATTCTCCAAACCTATAATTATATAATTAAACAGATTTTATATTTACAATTAAAATAGGTTGTGTGTAAAATATAAAATAAAAACACACAAGACAATGTATGCTTACTTTAATCTTTCCATCTTGTGATCCAGAAGCAAGCATCTCTGAATCTCTACTAAAATCGATACACAAAACAGCATCATCATGCATCATGAAGGATTCCTGCAGAAGGAAAACACCATATTTTAATAAATTAAATAAGAAATTCTTATTATGTTAAAAAACAAAGCATCACTCACTTCTGCTTGGTACTGAAGATCTTTTTTAAGTTTCCCACTTATGTGATCCCAGACCTGGTAAATATTTCACATTAATGTAGCAAATTCCATATCATTCATAATCTTATAATCTAAACTATAATTTAACATGTAAATGACAAGATTAACCTCGATAAACCCATCAACAGAGCAAGAAACAAGGAATTGTCCATCTGGTGAGAACCTTGCACTTTCAGGGTGACTTTTTTTTCCAAACTGCAATAAAGTTATAACAGAAAGGTTAACAATGGAACTAAATTATTTAACATGAAAAAATATATAAGAAATTACCTTAATGGTATGACCAAGAGTTGTTGGATACTTATCATCTACATCTTGTTTCATAGCAGCTGTTCCTCTAACAAATCAAACTGTGTTCCAGGTGGCAGCAACCCTAAAAGAGCCAAGTAAAGTATTCTCAATAACACAAATCTATGAGAAAAGGGCAAAGATTATAGTTTAGAATTAGACATTAGATAATGGTGTAACCTTGGTGTTGTTGCCACTTCAATGCTTGACCAATTAGAGCCATTAAACGTGATGGTGGAACTACAGAGACTTCTCCCGCAATAGCTGAAAAGGGCAAAACAGGAAGTTAACTTTCTTGTTCTATTTCTTGGATATTTGGAAAGGGTATATATGTACAAACTACAAACTACAAACATTGAGCAATTTGTGCGCGTCTTTTCTCTTTTGTTGATTCCTGATAAGCCTGAATAGTAATAACAATAAAAGTACAACATAATTAGCACAATCACTTAACAAAATACTGTGATATGTTATTGGAATTTCTATAGAATGAAGAAATTATGATTCTAACCTCATGGGGATCAAAATAAGTTCTAACAAGAAGATGCTCAAAGTCTTAAATATCTTTCTGGCTGTTCTTGTTTCATGACACTCATTGCCTGAGTTTGCCTTAATATAGCACGAGCAGTATCCAGCTCCCGAAGTTCAATCATTTCTAGAAACAATCTACAGTGGCATTCAAATAGATAACTGGATCAATGCAAGATATAGGAAATCACAAGAACAGACTTTGACTAGTCAAAAGGGTGTTTAATGTGTTACATACCTGTTCATATAAATCTTCCAGTTTCTTTCTTGGAAGCTTAAGTTGTGCCACTTGAGGCAATATTGCATCCCATCTACCACTGTTGATATCAGCTACAAATGTTTCAAGGCTGTCCACTGTATTTAGAGATACTTGGCACTCGCTTTGCAGTGTTTGGAATGTTTGATGCAGAGAGTTCTCTTTGCAGAACTGAAGAACTATTTTAATCACACTGTAACCAAAAGTACAATAAAGTTATATAAAAGCATATAATGTGCTTCCAGTTAACAAAAGTAGCTGGATGAATTACAATACGTTGCTCATTCATGGACTATAAAGGACGAATTCACAAAAGTATACCAAGGCAAGTATTTATATATAAGGTTTTACCACTAACGAAAGGTTGTTAATTTGGTAATAGCTTTAATCATTCAGACATACGTGATACGTGAGCTGAGCTTACGATTCGGGTCATAATTTAGCGCATACAAGAGGGTTCCTCATATTACCTCCAAATTGTACTCCCAACGATGTATTTTCGGTCGGTTTATAAGATGGATTCGTTTTCAATCATCTCGTTATCATAGCTTAAGGTATATCAATTTACATAACTCTAGCAAATAATGCATTACACAGTGACATAAAATTGACGAAAGAATCTACTTTTACTTACTCTCGAGCTTCGATTTCTAGGGCAGACATCGTACTAGGTCGTCTCTATCGGTGGAAGGTTTAGGGTTTTGGGTAATAAAAGCGTGCCCTTTTGTCAGTTTGGTTTAAGCAACAACAAGGCAATGGCGTAGCAGCCTAGCTGGTTCTCACCTTTAATTTCAGGAAACCCAAATAACGTAAAAGACGATATATCGGTAAAATTGTCGGATCCGGGTCCGGTGCTAATTAAGTTCATGCTGAACTTATCGTTTAACCTTTTAAATTTGGGTAAATTACATAAAAAGTTATTTTTATTTATTTATATATATTTTTTTTTTCTGTAATGTCAAGCAATATAGATGTCATCCATACTAAAGTTATTTATATGGAATGTGTTGATTGTTACACGATCATGTGAATAATAATGACTAACTAATCATATTGGTTTTTTCAAACCCAATTTTTTTTCATGTCCATGTCATTGTATTTAAAAAATAGATATGAGAACCAATTCTTTACTCCATCTTATCAACTATTTATTTATCTATTTCTCTTCCTCAACAATTGATTGATTGGAAGAAATAACTCACCATAATCACCTTATAAAAGTACACAAAGTCATCCTCGATTTTGAGGATGGGTTGTGACGGTATTGTTGATGTGTGGTTCCGATTAAAAGCGGGTTATAACATTTAATTTATTGAGCGGATATACCACCCCTTGAGCTGTTTCAATTGCATTCAATATGTACATGATATTTAAAGAATAAAAAAACAGAAGTTGCATGCATGTGTCAACATAAATTTTATAATTCAATGACAATTGCACAAAGAATTGATTCATTTCCTGTCTTTTTTTTTTTTGGCATTTTGCTCCATATGTGACATGTTTTTTTTTCTTTAATATAACTTTGTAAATACTTATGGGACAACACATTTGATCTTGAACAAAATAAATAAGTTAATTATTTATGCAAGCTATAACTACAAAAATATGATATGATCTAGGTTTGAAACATGTAAATTAAGCAATAATTGAACTGAATTATTGAATTAAACGAAATGATTACAACAATTCCACCATTCTAAGGACCAAAGTTTTAATGTACATGATCAAAATACCATCATCAACCAGATGTCTTAGTAAAAATAAATAAATGTTGAAATCTACCCAATGGAGCAATAAAACATAAAAAATACACTATTGGTCAATTGAGTACAATTACCTAGGGACAAGGTGTTTCTAACAATGAGATCCTGGGTTCAATCCCAGGCATAAACTAACTCATTGTTCAAAAAAAAAAATCTAGCAACTTAAAAGAGCAAATTGAGAGTTATGGCATTAACCCTAAGAAAAATTATACATGTTTTGAATTGTAAAACCAATCATTGAAAACTCTTTAACAATGTATTCAATCTCCAGCAACGTACAACGAACACAAATGAGATAAATGTACACATGAAAACACAAAAGAATTAGCTCCCTCATGGACCTCGCATCTTCTCAACAATATGTCTTCCTTTCTCTTCAATATTCCGTCTCTTTTCTTCAAGTTTCTCCCCCATCTTTTTCCTTAACCCCAACATCTTGGCCTTGGGTTCCCATTCTTCTTAACCTCGCATCCTCCCCTTCCGCCATGTCATTACTTTCTTCACTCGTCACCACCACTGGCTGAGGTGGCAATGGGTGGAGTTGCCAGCTTGGCAATTTAACTTCCCTCTTCTCATCAACCGACCGGAGTGACACAGTAAGATCCGCCTCTTCTTGTCCATGTTCCTCACTTTCCAACAATGGAGTTTTCTCATCTACAGTGACAGGATCTTCATTTTCTCCCAAGTGTTGATCATCAGTTTCAGATACGCTTTCTAAGCTACGATTGCTAGTGTTATGGACATCTTGTGGTTCTTGTGGATGAGGTTCTTGGGAAGGTTGGCAGGGATGAGGTTCGTGTACAATAGTGGGTTCGGTAGTGGTGGTGGTAGTGGTAGTGGTGGTGGTGGTGGTGGTGTTGGTGGTGGTGGTGGTGGTTGTGGTGGTGGAGTTGGTGGTGGATTCAGGATTGGCAAATATAAAAGGGGCGGCTTTTTGTGGGATCCAGTCGTTCTTTTCGGCTAACATAAAGGGAATGGTTACACTTTCAGAGTTAGGGAGTACCATGGTTTCACGAATAGCTGTCTGTGGAAGTAAACCATGTATATATCAGAAGCTTCACAAAATAAAGATTTTCTATCTACTTGATGCTTTTTTCAGAAAACCCATATCAAAAACTTAAACAGTATCACATTTTTTGGAAAACCCATATCAAAAACTTCAAAAAGATCACATTTTTGGAAAACCCATATCAAAAACTTTAAAAAGATGACATTTTTGGAAACCCATATCAAAAACTTTAAGAATATCATATTTTTGGAAAACCCATATCAAAAACTTTAAAAAGATCACATTTTCGGAAAACAATATCAAAAACTTAAAAAAATAATAATAATAATAAAATTAAAAATAAATAATTCACATTTTTGGAAAACCCATAGCAAAAACTTTTAAAAGATCACATTTTTGGAAAACCCATATCAAAAACTTTAAAAAATCACATTTTTTGGAAAACCCATATCAAAAACTTAAACAAAGATAACATTTTTGGGAAACCCATACCAAAAACTTAGAAAAAAGATCACATTTTTGGAAAACCCATATCAAAAACCTTAAAAATATCACATATTGAACCAAACCAGATCAAGAATCAAGCTATTGTGAATCACAATTGAAAAAGATAAAGAGAGGGAAAGCAGGATGTCACCATTGATGGCAATGGGCAATGGGATTGGGTAAATTTAATTAAGTTATTAAAATGTGCAAGAATACCCCCTAAATTTAATAAGTGTATTATACATTCTTTTTTTCAAAATTTAACCGAATCTTTACAACATTAGAACAGCTAAGGAATAGTGTACAAAAATTAGTTTCGAGGAGCTGGTTGCTATTTTAGTAACATAAGCACTTTTCTGAAATTGAGAAAGTGTTTTGACCTCAAAAGTAAAAGATCACCATTTTTGGAAGCAATTCAAGACAAAAAACAAAAACAAAATTTGCATAAGAGCATTTTAATCCAACCTTAAATTTACCGATTATGAACAATGCAATATGTCCACTTGTAATCTTGTGATCCCCAACAGAAGACTCCAAACTAAATTCTATATCAGGCATTGATGTAAAACCAAACCACAATTGATCTGAAGGAGGAGGTTTTATATGCACCCTTAATGTTCCTCTAAGAGTTGTTACCCGTATTGCCATTGAAAGAGGCACCTTCACAAATCACAAGATTTAAGTTTTAATAAACACTTTTACTTAATATCTATAATCAATAAACATTCAAATCCGAAATTATTGTTATACAAACCTGAGACACTTGTTTCGCAACAGAATTTAACACAGATTTCCACTTGGATACAGCAGAACTTGAAGATGCTTGTTCATCTCCCTTAAAACTTTTTACCTCTTCTGTAACAAGATAAATTAGTATATCTGTCTAACTGATCAACTTACAAAATAAAAACAATGATTATTCAACTTACCCAATTTGCGTATTTCATCACCCTTGTGTTGATTAAGCTTCAACTGTTCTTCATAGTACCCAACACCTTCTAGAAGATCAGAAGTGACATCCTTAACAGATTTGGAATCTGAATTCATAGTTTCTGGATTTTCAAGCTCTTGTACTTCAAGCCTTGTTTCAATATCCAAAACTGCCCCACCATAATATTCAATATCAATCTCCATGGCAACCACTTCCTTCAAATCTGATGGTAGGACCCGCATACCATGAATATATGGCGGGATATTTCCAGGATTTACCCCTGTGCAAACTATCTCCCCTATGTAACTCGGGGTCCTTATAGTAGAGAGTGTCCTCTACACACAGATAATTTACAAATTAGTTATAAACTATGTGCTAAATCTTTTATTTCAAAAAAAGTTACACACCTGAATTCGTGCTTGTATAGAGCTCTTCAAATCTGCATTGCTTTTGGCATCAAAAAATAACCGTGATATTAGCAAATTGCAACATAATGTTCCATCATCACTAGCTATTTTATTAATAGAATAAGTAGAATCTGTATCAGATCTTGGTGTTAATAATGCTTGAACAATTTCCTCTTCAGCGGAATGATTCGGTTTCTTTTGTGTTTGAAAGTGTTTTGAAGAGCTACCAACTGAACTCGACTCTTGCACTGTATTAGATTTTTCTTTTTTATCTTCTCTACCAGCTTTAGAAGTCTTTTTGGCAAATTTTTTTAATAAGTGGCGAAATTTTGATGATGAAGTTTCTATCTTGACTGTTTTATCGCCTGTTTCTGGATTAAAACCTATGGAGGGTTTTAGAAATGAAGGATATTCAACATTTATGGATCCTAAGTAACTGTGAAAGTCTGAAAGCGATTTGTGAAACCATTTGAGTTTCTCTTTGTCATCACATGAAGCAAGTCTGAGGGCTTTACACCATGATTCCTTTTCAGAAGATGTCTCGAAATATAAGTAGAATAGCTTGCTTCCATGGTATAGTACTGATGACTTGTTTTCCACTCTGACAGGGTATTTTTTGGCCCTGTGAGATAAACACAACACCAAGGTTTAGCAATAGTACATAAATTCGTGTGTAATTTGTATTTCAAACAAGTAGAAATCCATGTCACTCTAAGGGAAATCATCTGAGGTACCTAAAAGGCTAGAACAAACAACCTACCAAAGAAGCAGATTTAAAAATGCAACTAACTTTAGACTGATATGTAGATACAAAGTTATGCAGCTGTAATATAAATGTATGTCTTAACAGTTTCTTTAGGGAAGTAACAATCACAATACACAGTTTCTAGTAAAGAGAGCATCACCACTTTCTGGTGGGTAAATTTGTAGCAGAAACGGCTTCTACAGTGCAGCCTGAAAGAGGAATCTTCGTGAGGGTGTCATCTGGTTCTATAAGGATGAGTGATAGATCCTTGATGCTTGCTTGCTTCCGCACAGGTGAAACCTCCACAATCTCATTTTTACGTTTTTGTGAACGTGATCCTTTATCAAATGATGGTAAAGTCTTTGGGATCTTTTCCTTTTCTAAAATCCAAACCCAACCCTGAAAACGCAAGCAGTTTGTAAAGAATTACATAAATGAAGTAGTTCTATTCATAACCAAATTTTTCAAATCCATCATATATTAGAAGACTGGATTCTATAAACACGTAAGAAAACTGACCTGTTTATCAGGAAATGAAAACTGGGGTTCCTCTCTTTCAGAGGATCCGGATTCGGCGACCTTAACAGCATCTTCCTTCGTTTTTCTACCCAATTTGTGTATCAAGAACAAAACTCCCACAACTTCAACACCGATTACAGCTAATGCCCCAACAACGAACCCCACAAACAATGCAAAGGCCACCATAACCGTGTTTTAAGTACTGATCATATAGACTAGAGACAAAACCCAATTTCAATAATGCACAAAAACACACATCGAACATCAAATCGGCGGAATCTTCCTCATTATCAATCAAAACTACGCAGCACGGTGTCAAAACTTACGCTCCAAGGGACTGACGAATCAAAAATCGATGCAGAGGAGTTGTAATGAGAAGTGGGGTTTCCTGCTTGAACTGAGAAATTCGAGAGAGGCAAGGTAAGAGTGGAGGACGGCGAAGACGTGGAATTAGGAGGACGTCGGACGCGGTTGCTTTTTAATTAGGGAATCAAAGATGATTTGATGATGGAGTGCACCGGTGAGCATCTTTGGATTTCGTCTATTTTCTACCCCAATTCCAAGTTAGAAGTAGTTTACCAGAATGGAGCAGCATAAGCATATGGCGTGGTGAATGCTGGTCGTCCCAATCAACGTAACGAAAATTGGAAAATGACTTTCCCATTCAACAATTTCGAACCTGGCCATTTTGGGATAAAAATAATTTCATTTAAAATGATAAAACAAAATAACATGTCGATGAAAGTGTATTTATTGCTTTCATTTTAGTGGTTATTTGGTATATGCTATTATTAATTTTAAAATATTATTTTGTATATGCTTCTAGGCTGAGGGTATTTTGATGCGTAAAAGGTGACGTTGAGGGGGTATATACGCATGAACCCCCCCCCCCCTCCTTAGTAATGTGATGGGGATTGGCATGGTTCACCGGTGGTTACGTGCAATTTGATTGGATGTTTTTTTTACCGTTTTCTCCCATTTACTCTATCCATTTTGACCGTTAACATTTATTTAAAAATATATATTTTCAAAACTAAAACCTCACCTATATATATATATATATAATATATATATATATATTATATATATATATATATATATAATACATATCACATATTTTACAACTACAAAAAAAAAAAAATCACACTCAACAACAAGAATATGAATAATTTTTTGGATGTCATTTCTTCTTCTTCATCATCCGGTGATGATGAGTTGGTTATGCACATGTTGTTGTCTGCGTCACACTACGTCAGAGATGCGAAACTTCAAATGTCGAGAATAAACGAAGAAAGTCCATCAACCGAGATTGAGAGGCGACGAACAAACTTTTGGTACGTGATTACTTTAACCTTGATAGTTTATACGATAGATCGAAGTTTGAGGATCACTTTCGTATCAGTAGAAATTTATTTCTACGTATAACTAGAGATTTTGAAAACAATTATGAGTTCTTCCAATTAAGATGTGATGCTAGGGATAAACGTGAGTTTACTACATTTCAAAAATGTACATCAGCTCTTAGACAATTAGCGTACGGCATAGATGCAGATGCTTCAGATGAATATTTGAAGATGTTTGCGAGGACCGGTCGAGAATGCACATATATTTTTTGTGGGTATGTTATAGAGCTTTATGGCGACATATACTTGCGAAATCCGACCAGAAATGATGTCGAATAGTTGTATGTTGCACATCAGGCTAAACATGGATTTCCAGGAATGCTAGGTAGCATTAATTGTACACATTGGGTGTGGGAAAATTGTCCCAATGCATGACGAGGGTAATTCATACGAGATGATCATGATGTGCCTACTATTATACTATAAGCAGTTGTTTCACAGGACCTCTGGTTTTGACATGTATTTTTTGGCATGGCAGAGTCAAACAACGACCTGAATGTGCTTGGAGCATCTTCATTATTTAACGATGTTTTGCATGGTAAAGCACCAAATATGTCATACGTTATTAATGGACGTGAATACAATCATGGATATTACCTTGCTGATGAGATATATCGAGAGTACACTACATTTGTCAAGTGATACACATATCCAGCTGATGAAAAAATGAAATTGTTCAACTTAGCACAGGAATCTGCAAGGAAGGATGTGGAGCGGGCGTTTAGGGTCCTCAAACAGAGGTGGCACATAATCAAATATCCGGCACGAGCATGAGAAAATGAAATTTTGATGAAGGTGATGAAAGCGTGTGTTATTTTACATAACATGATACTAGAATAAGAGGGTAGGACTATTTATACGTATACTCCGAATGATATGCTCTATCCACCTGCAGTAATACAAGTCAGCAGCCCAACATATTTTACAAGGTTTTTGGAAATACATAATAGTGAAACACATCACAATTTGCGTCAAGATTTGACTAACCACATGTGATAACGACAATTTGAAGACGAAAACGAAGTGGATGAGGACGCGGACGATGAGGACAACGATGTAGGCGAGTAGTTTTTTTTTCAATGTTTTTTTTATTAATTTTTATGTTATTAGTAAAATGTACGTTGAATTTTAAAAATATCTAGCACACCCCCGAACCAGATGACGGAAATGCCTGAGGGCTCGTGTGACTTAATTTGAATATCATCATAATGAATATACATGAACCATAACATAAACATCACCATGCATTAATACATTACAGCTGACATTGTTCACATCAAGTATATTGTTTAAGAGTAAATTACACGAATGGTCACTATGGTTTGGGGTAATTTGCGCGCTTGATCCCTAACTTATTTTTTTAACTCAGAAAGTCCCTACTGTTTGTTTTTGTTACGCGCTTGGTCCCTACTTTTTGTTTTTGTTACGCGATTGGTCCCTATTTTACTTAAAAAAAAAAACTATTATTTAAATAGAAAAAAATGGTAGGATAGGTAAGGTAAGGTGAAGGGGGTTGGGGTTGGGTTGTGTTTATTTAAATATTTTAAAAAATCAAGGGCAAATAGTTTTTTTAGGTAAGACATGGACCAAGCGTCTAACAAAAACAAAGAGTAGGGACCTTCCGAGTTGAAAAAATAAGTTAGGGACCAAACGCGCAAATTACCCTAAACCATAGGGACCATTCGTATAATTTACTCATTGTTTAAACATTACATATCCATAGCATAAATTGTTTAATAGTTTTCTAAAGCATAACACCCTAACATACTTGGTGTTACTCCTCAGCTTACCTATTACCTGAGAATACAAGTTATTTTGAAAAACGTCAATATATGGAATGTTGGTGAGTTCATAAGCATGGTTGTTATGAAAATGTTTTGTGTAGTTTATAAAACTCAAAAAATCCGATATTTTCTGAAAAAGACAATTGTTTATACTAAAGTGTAAAGATCCATATGTTTATGCGTGAATGATTTCAAAGCGTGTATAAATGAGAAGTTTTGCATTATAGTTATTGAAAAATTGCAAATGAATGGTGTTAATTTCCTCGAAAAAACCCGATGTTTTCCGATCAAAAAATATAATTGTTTCAAATTGTTATACCGTCACAAAAAATGATTATGATTTTTCCTTGATTACTCGGATAATATTGGATTTGTTTATGTGAGTCGTTATAACCATGTATAATATTGACTAGTTCGTCTGTCTTGGCATTCTAATGAAGGCCGGAATTGATCTTAAGATTTTATCACCATAGACTGGCCGAGTCTAACTGTAGCGAACATATGAGGTGTGGGGGATTCACCCCTGTATAGATCTATACACAAACTCCGCTCTCCCTCCAGGAGACTTTGATTATAACTAGAGACTACAAACGACCCATAGAGGTGTCACCCGTTATTACTCACTGAATCCAACATGAATTTGATTACCATTGATTAACGACATGTATATGTTTACTGAATTGAAGGTAAGCCTAATAAATGAGAAGAAGAGGATTACAAGGTCGTACTAATCCCATGTATTATTTATGGCTATTAGGCATACGAAGGATACGTTGGCCCGTTTCGCATTTGATTTATTTGGACCTTACTAGCAATGTTAATAGGACACTAAGGCCCAATAGCACTTGAAAACCATTGAGGGTCCATTAAATATGAAATTTGGTCACAAGAGGCCCAATAAACACTTATTATTATCATTGGGCCCTAAAGTCATGTTAATGGGTCATGAAGGCCCAATAAACATGTTTAGGAACTTTCAAGCCCAAATATTTGAATATTTACTTGTTTTAGGTATTGTATAATTATCGGAAAGATTGATTTAATGATGTTTAGGTTTGTAACGACACGAGGTCGGTCGGTTGTTTATAACGATATTTGGGAATTATATGTATATTCGTCTTTCTATTTTCGTAAGTTGAAATTTGGTGTTTTTGACTCAATATCTTAAAAATAAAATAATTGACTAAAAAATTTTGGTTTGGCCCCTTTTGCCCTTCTTTAATAAAAATGACAATTTTAGTCCTAAAAAAGACATCTTGGACCCTTAACCCATTTTCTTGACATTTTTGACCCATAGACTTGTTCAAGTGATGTTTTTAGCTCAAAATTTATTCTTTGGCAGATTCAGCCCCTCCAGAAAATAGTTTTTCAGTTAAAGCCCAAACTTTTTGCAACTTTTATAATTTTGGCCCAAAATCCAAAAAAAAAAAAAACTTTACATTTTTTATCCTTAATTGGAAAAAATATAACTTTAACCCCTTAATTAGTTTTATTTACCCTTTTTCCCATTGTTTTGAGAATTTTACCATTTCAATCCCTTGAAAAACACGTTTTTCGCAATTCTTGGGCCTATGGGCCGAAAAGTCCAAAATTTGGCCCATTAAGCTACAAATTACATTTCTAGCCCGTTAAAGAGTATGTTGTTCATAAAAAACATTTATTTTTACAGTTTTGACTCTTTTGGTCCTTAAGAAAACCGTGAATGACAATCTTTCCCCATAATTTTCTTATTTGACAAAAATATCCCAATAATGTGTCTTATGTTGTAACTTGTTTATTTTAACCCTTATATGGTATATTTTCTTAACTTGTTATGTATAATACATCCTAGATCACATGTTTTTCCTCTTTGAACTATAGATCTCAAAATCCCTTTCATTTTTTGGCACAAAAATACCATATAAACACAAAAATCACACATAGCACACAAACACACATAGATCTAAACATTTTTACTTGTATTCTCCCCCCATAAAACATGTGAAAACCGAAAATAAGGGGAATGAACTCACATTTGCTTGTTGTTTTTGATTTGAAGAAGAAAAGGAAGAGTTTGATGCTAGTTTTTTGGCCCTAGCAACACCTTGTTGTAGATTTCAAGCTTAAGGAGTTTTCTAGGAGTATGATCACCAAACGATTGTTTAGAAGAAGTGATCTTACAATAGAGAAGAGTTATATAAATTAGACATGTAAAAAAATCTTACCAAAGAATGATGCTTTTCTTGTAAGAATCCTTTTGAAACCAAACAATATTTCGAGAGATTGGAGGAATAAGAAGAATAATCTTTGAGAGTGTAAGGTGTTAAAAATGAAGGAGTGTGATGGTAGGGAAATGGCTCTCAACCATAAGTAGAAAGAAGGAGAAAGAGATTAGAGAAATTTGCATGATGGATAATAGTGTTCTAGATGCATGAGATTATCTAGATATATGCTAGATAATCATGAGTTGTTATGTTCTTAATCCTTCCTTCTTCCATTCCTTTTTTTTAAACTTGGGCCGAGAGAGAGTGAAGAAAGAATAGTTTGGGCTCTTTTCGTGCTTTAGTCCATAATATGGGCCCAATTTGATGATTTTCGGCCC